TTGTTTATTGCTTTTCTCCTTAAAAAGGACCCAAGGTGGCTTACATCATTAAAAAGCAATATTAAAGCTAACAACAATAAGTATACAAATACTAAAAAGGATGAAACAAATACCATACAAAAACATAAGCAACACCAAAACACATTCAAAGCAGTAATGTACAACAATCCATTCAAAACCCCACTCAGGCAGCCAGTCAGGGAAAAGTTGTGTTACCAGAAATATCTGCTATCGTGCTTGCAGAAGGATAGCGAAGATGGGGCCAGCCTAGCCTCCTGTGGGAGGGGGTTCTAAAGTCTGGGAGCAGCAACAGTGAAGTCCCCCTCCCATGTACCACCCAAATGTACCTGTGAAGGTGGGGGGGGTCCAACAGAAAGGCCTCTTCTGATGATTTTAACACTCGAGGAGGCTTATAAAGGGAGATAGTGTGGGTCCAAACCATTTAGAGCTTTTATGGGTTAGAACCAACACCGTGAATTCAGGAAATGGATTGGCAGCCAGTGGATCTGCTGTAATTGGGACAGGGTGTGTCACCTCTGTAAGAAGCTCCAGTTAGCCGTATGGCTGCTGCATTTTTGGACCTGCTGGAGTTTCTGCACACAGTGTATACAAATAAACAAGAAGAAAGTAAGCTTGTTTCCTTCTGTCTTTCCCCCCATTAATAGGAGGTGGCATTTCCTTTTTCTCTTAATTTTAAGAGATTAACACTCTAATAAGGGATAAGGTCAAAGCGAACCTCTTATAGAATCTGGATAGTTGCTAGTTTGGGATTCTGTGTGTGCCAAGGTGACAAAGTACAAATAGCAGAGTCAGCAATGTCAGGTTGTATAGTGTGATGATAGGCAGGATTTTAAGGCCAAGAACCAACCCAGACTGCTAAACAGGATCTTCATCCAGGTGTTAGATGCAAGGCTAGTGAGAGAAAAATGGAAACTACAGGCAAACACAAGACAAAACTGCCAATAAAAATAAGGACAAGAGCCCAGAATCATGATCAGCTTGTGCATCCTGAATGATTTGAAGACAAGAATGATGGAGAAAGAACCAGCAACGCAGAAAGTTTGTATTATCATTCAGAGGACATTCTGGAATGTGAAGTTTTCTCCATAGACAGGCCATGACCACAGCAGTGGGATACCCCAGGCTGAAACTTTGAGGTGAGGTGCTCCCCCAACAGCTACCATTACCCACCTTAACCAACACACCTTGGTTTTCTTTTAACCAAGCTGCAAAGATAAAGGGTGAAAAAATGGAAGGTTGCCCTGCAAAATGAAAAGCACAGCCAGGAGGACAGCTCTTTTTTCATTTTCCTTTACCTTGCAGGAGACCCCACCCATTGGCAAGTAAGAATTGGATATAGAAGCCTACATAGTGAGGGCTGAGGACATGTGCTAAGCAGAGAACAATTCATGCTTCCATCTTGCTCTCTCCTTTTAACCACATCAACACTGCTGACATGATCATACCACAGTTCAGGGAAGAGACACATATCACTCTCAGTCTGACAGGCACCTCCTCTTGCATTATGTTTGGCAACCCCAGAGTGCTGTTCTTCATTACAGAGCTCTCTGGGGTGATCTTTCATTTCCTAATGCAAATGCCTCTGAAAGCAAAATGTCAGGTGACATTTTCGGACTGTGTCATTCATCCGTTAGCTGCCAGTGCACAATGCCATATCATTTCTTACCTGACACACAACTTTTCTCTCAATAAACAAGAAGAGAATGGCTGTCAGACAGTAAGCTGTGAAATGCCTCACAGTTTGGCACGGCAAAGAGTGCATGAGCACTCTTTCCAGAAGCGCCCTAGGTGGGGATGACCTATGTGCCACCAGTTTGCTATCCCTGACAAAGCAAGGCAATTAGCAATCTTAAGGCCTTCTGAAGTCCTGGTATTTCCATGAAGTAGTTAGGAAGCAGATCATTATAGAGGTGTACATTGGTCAGCCTCTCTAGACTTCTTCCTTTCACTGCTTCCATTCTTTGGTTTATTCCTGTTTTCATCTGGTGGGTGTAGTGTTGTGTTTTTGAAACTTTTAAAAAGCTCATTTTGTGGACATTTTCCAAATCACACACCTTGCTTGCATACATTTTCCCCTATTGACTAAATGGGAAAGGTGTATGCCTTTCTGCACATACATGAAATGTGCTCTTTTTTTAAATGCCCACTTTTCAGACATGCCTATTTTATTGGAAACATCTGTAGCTGTGTATAATAGGAAGATTCTGGGATGCAAACTGTGGTCTGTATCCAGCCTGACGAATGAAGACCAAAGTTCGTACAGAAAAGTCCACCTGAATGGTTTCCTCACATTGGCTGATAAGGTGATCTGAATGGGGGCACTAAACATTTATGCATTAGAAGATCACCATTATTGCCATATTTGAGAAGGCTCACATGATTCATTATTGTACGTTTTTTCAGAGCCCATATGTCCATTAATTTGGAAGGTCTCTTTTGCCAGGAGCACTGAATAAGGTTTTGGATGAACGAACTTTGTGTTTCTGCTGTGGAGGGCTGCAAGCACTGCCCAGCAAGAAGGATGTGTCAACAATGTCAGAGCTTCTCTCTCCAGGAAATTCTGTCAAAGGCTTGTCTTGCATGGCAGAAACCAATCTTCAGCCAATCTCTGTTTTCCCCTTGGGTTTCTCTATGTCAGATATGCCTCTATTAGCGTAAAGATTAGAATGACAACAAGAACCAGTTCTGATTATACTGCTGAGTGCTGGATTGATATCTGGAATACCACTAATGGAAAGTGCTTCACTTTCCTTGCTACTGTATCGGCTGAAGCATTGTCTCTACTGGAGTTTTTTCTTTCTACCGAGAAACATCACAGCAGTCCATTTGGGAGAATGCCAGGCCACTGGCATAGTACAGTGTTCTGATACAGCATCACAACGGGAATCAAATTGCCCTTGGGAAATTATGGTGTCCACTTGGGATTTTGCCCATTGTTTTCTGTCCTCCTCCCCTTTTAATTTACTGTGGAAGCATTTAGATAAAACACTGCTGGGTGCTGGCATAAACACAGGTGAGATCATGGCTCTGTATACTTTATATTTAGTATACTTTATATGGATGACAGGAGAGGAATCAACATGTATGAAAGAAAGGTAAATGATAGATAATATCTGAGATTTAATGCATATCTAATAAATTTGCTTTTTGGGGATGCGTTTCTTATTTTTCTGCTAGCCATTTTGTATCATTAGCAGTGCTTTATGAGGTGCTGAAGCCCCATGACCCTGAGCGCTAGAAAGATTGCATAAATCTCCATAGTCAGCTTTGTCACGTTCATAAAATGTTTGATAAAGCATCTTCTAATCCAAATAATGTGCAGTGAAAGTTTGGAAAGATAAGCAGGCCCTGCTGACACATTTGTGGTACATGAGACAAGAGGGTTGGGAAAAATAGAAGCAAAGAGGAACCATCAGCACATGGTTGCCATGTTGAAAAGAAGGCCGCATTGTTTTTAGAAACTGGATGTGTTTTTTGTGTTTTTTTATCTTTATTTTATTTTATTTTGCATTTAGTAGCCACATTCAATTGTTTGGGCTGGGTACTCATTAGTAGAGATGGGTACGATTCACCATTTTGGCGAGTCTTGCTTCATGAGTAGTCAAAAGCAATGAAACACGAAGTTGCCCCCATGAAGCAATGAATAATGAATTTATTTGTCAATTTGGGGGGTATTTAAAAAACACACCCTGTACTACCACCCTGCAGCCACCCCTCCACTGCCCATCCCTGCCGACACCCCCCTTTCTATTAAAAAAACCACCATTGTGCCTACCAGCCACAATTAGCTGATCGGCAGCCGATAGGGAGCCAGCCACCCCCACAGCCAGCCGCCCTCGCTGCCTACCCCCACCCCTTCCTCTCCCTATCTTAGCCCCCACACCCACTGACAGCCCCTTACCTTAATCGCTGCTGCCGAGGGCTCCATCTGGCCTCCCAGCCATGGCATGTAAAAAGGGAGACTAGCTGCCCTTTGCAAAGACGGCAGCTATGGTTTCATTTAGGGTAGGGAAGCTCCAGCAGCCATCTTTGCAAAGGGCAGCCAGTCTCCCTTTTTACATGCCATGACTAGGAGGCCAAATGGAGCCCTCGGCACCGGCGATTATGGTAAGGGTGTGTTGGTGGGTGTGGGGGCTAAGGCAGGGAGAGGAAGGGATGGGGTAGGCTGTGGGAGTGGCCGGCTGTTTATCAGCTGGGCACTCTGGAGTGATTGGAAGGAAGAGTGGGGCCGGCAGTAGCAGCGGATGCATGAGTAGATGGTTCAGCCCCAGGGGGCCGGACTCTCATTAATTCCACCTGTGCGGGGGTATTCATATTTGTATATGAATACGAATACCCCCATCTCTACTTACAGCACATAACAGTGACAAAGACAAATTTAACATTGTTTTCCATGGTCTGCAGCCCACCTCCATATGTTTCTAATGTAGTTTGTTTAGTAGTAGTTTAGTGGTTCGGTACTTTAGTGGATCATGGAATCAAACTGAAAGAGATCATTACATGTTGCTAATTTTTGCCTCTGAAGAAGTCCACAGATTGCTTTAGGCAAATTTAAAGTGTAATAAATCCATTTTCCTTAATATTCTGATATTGCGTCTCCCTTCATAATTTGATGACATGGGCTGTAGTTTATGAAAGAGCATGCCAAATAGAACTTGCGAATCTTCAGGGGTCCACAAGACTCTTTGCTGGTTCTGCTACAGTGGACTATCATACCTATAGTTCTGAGAACCCCTCCTGCAAGCATCACTATTATAACTTCCAGAATTCCAGAGATAAAATTATCATTCTTTCAGTGCATTTAAATTATGTACCTGGTTATACTCTGCAGTGCCAAACTGTAGGAAGTTGTCAAACATTGTCAGCCAACTTATGGTTTCCTCCAGAAAAACATGGGGTGCCTAGTTCATGAGGGCATCAACCTAACCTAAGTGCACAATAATAATGGACACTTTGCATTTCCCTTTCCCCCCTTCTAGGCTGTGGACATGGATGAAAAGGACTACAGTGAAGCAGATGGGATATCCGAGAAAACCACCCCTAGTAAGACCCAGAAATCTCCTCAGAAAGTTACCAAGAAGCTCAAGAGTGCCATCTGCAGAGTGACCCTGCTTGATGCCTCAGAGTATGAATGTGAAGTAGAGGTAAGAGGTGTTTCTTGGCTCTGAATTTACTAGTTACATTTCTGTGGCTTATTTATTATAAACAGTGCTACCACCATTGATCATCCTTTTTTCTAGGAAAATAATATCTAAAATCCTTATTTAAATAAATAAATAAATAAAAAATCTGTGATCAAGATTAAAGCAATTAATGCTTTCATCTCTGACAAAGACACATGTGTGCGCATCGAATTCCCCAGAAGGATGCACATGGAAAGCAGGTGTGAATGACTCACACATTTCTAAGCGTGGGCTGCCTGCTATTTGTATATTATGGTGAAAATGAAGTGTAGGCTGTGTATGTGTGACTAAGAGAGAGAGAGAAGGGGAACTTGCGTAGCTGTTACCTTAGCTGGGATACCTCAAGGAGGAGAATGTTATTAATAGCATACAGATGAGAAGTTTTAAGCCATGTTTTAAATTTGAAGAGCCTCATTTGTGCAGCGACTTTGCCCTTCGTTTTTTGTGGGTATTTCCACTTTCCTGTAGGGGTGGAAAGATATCCAAAGAGTGCTTCACATCTCCATGGAAACTACAGTCATTATTCCCTGCCAAATAAGTGGAGAGGGACCTGGTCCTTCATTGCTAGCTCATTACTGGGGCTCCTTGAAATTTGGGGGTGAAGACTCACCACTTCCTTGTTTCCTGGACCTCCCATACATTCTTTACTTGGATAGGATGCACTGTTGAAAAGCCTTACATGGAGAGAATTGCCAGTTGCCTTTTCTGTACAGAGCTTGCTTACAGGAGGATTTACAATGGAGACTTTTTTTGTTTAAATTGCTGAGTCTGTTGCAATCTGGAAAGCCTCGGTGGGGAAGGTTCAGGCCTCAACCTCCTTTGCACAGGCCCTAGAGTTGTTGCTGTCTCTACACAGACAGGCCTATACAGCCTGTGACCACCCCCAAGTGAGGCCAAGAGGCATTTTGCAAAAATAAATATGGTGGTCAGCGGGAAGCCTTCCGTTTTTCTCCTTTTCAATGCACCTAATTACCTAGATAACATATATTATTATTAAACTAAATGATTATGATTATTTCAGCAGGTTCCACATGGGGGGAAAGCAGCTTTGATATGAGAGATTTAATTAGAGTGTAGGTTATATTAGAACATGTCTGTAATACTTGCATTTCAATGCTGTGTTTGCTGTCCAGGTTTGGAGAGCTTTTAAACCAGTAAATCAATCATTGAACCAGTCTTCAGTTGTGAAGTTTAGGGAGTAGTGGATGAGCCAGGTATAAAAGAGGAGTAAGGTAGGGAACAAGCCACATAATAAAGGTAAACACCAAACAATTATCAGTAGCATGGCTTTAAAATTGAGCAGTCCGGCAGATAGATTAGTGGGTGAACAGTTGAATAAATATAGGGAATGTTTGCACAAATTGAAATCAAGAAAACTAGTAACTTTCAGTCTTTTTCCAAATGGCAAATAACAAGTCCTTGCTACAATTCTCAGGGGTGAGCATTGAGATACCAAGCCCCAAGAATTGTTACGGAGATATTCCCTTGTTGGTCAGGAACAGGCTAAAAGTTATGGATTTTCTTATGCTAAGCAGTAGAATTTCAGCCACAGAGTAGCCCCTTGTGACACGTTTTTAATTCTCTAATACAGATGCACAAATGCTTATGTCAGTCTTGCATGTGCATTGATATTGTCCTTTTTTAAATAAAAAAATATGCAGAGGTGGTGGCTTGTTTCAAAAACAAAAAACCCAAAAGTAAACAGATTTTTTTCAGAAATATTGCAGTTCAGTGGCCCCTCGACATCTGAAAGGAAAATATATACTTTTCAAAAACAGATTCTGCAGAATCATAATACAGTAATGTAACAATATATATTGTTCAAAAAGAAAAAAAATAGAAAAGGAGGTGGAATTGCAGTATATTTCAAAAATACACATTCATTCACAGAAATATTGGAGGAGATTGGCTGTCTCATTGAGAGCACCTGGATCAAGGTAGCTGGGAGCATGGTCGTTGGAATCTACTACTGACTGACCAATCAAGGAGAGGATGCGGGTGAAGCTTTTGAAGAATGAATTGCAAGCATTTCAAAGAGGCACAATGAAGTAGTGATGGGAGATTTCAATTATCTACCAGAGGCAAATTCTGCTTCATATGCCCCTTTTAAAATATTCCTGGCTTGTGTGGAAAAATAATTTTCTCCTACAAAAAGTGGAGAAAGGAACTAGATCCAGCTATGCTCGGCCTGATTCTAACCAATAGAGATGACTTGTGGAGGAAGTGACAGTAAGGGGAGCACAGGGTGAGAGCAACCATATTCTCCTAGAAATCTGGATTTCAAAGAAACCAAAGCAGAGTGTAGCTGGATTTTTTAAAAAAAAACAATTTTAATAAATTCAGGAGAATGATGAGGACATGGTAGGAGAGCCTAACAAAAAGGGGGGGCAGTGTGTGGCTTCACAAAAAGCTCAGAGAAGACATTAAATTAAAATGGACACATATAGGAAGTAGAAAGGAGGCCAGGCCACAAAGAAGAGTAAGTGGTGCCTCACTTAATGACGACGATCCGTTCCAGGGAAATCACTGTTAAGCGAGAGTAAGTGGTGCCTCGCTTAACGACAATGATCCGTTCCAGGAAAATCACTGTTAAGCAAAAACATCGTAAAGTGAAATTAAAAACCCCATTGAAACGCATTGAAAACCTTTCAATGCATTCCAGTGGGCTAAAAACTCACTATCCAGCGAAGATCCTCCATACGGCGGCCATTTTCGGTGCCTGTATAGCGAGGAATCCATCCCTAAGCACAGCGGGGAGCCATTTTAAGCACTTGGTGGCCATTTTGAAAACCCGACAATCAGCTGTTTTTGATCGTCGTAAAGCGAAAATCGGTTCCCAAAGCAGGGAACCAATCATCACTAAATGAAATTCCCCCCATTCAGACCATCATTTTGTGATTGCAATTGCGATCACAAAAACATCGTCGTAAAGCGGATTCGTCATTATGCTGGGCAATCGTTAAGTGGGGCACAACTGTACAGACAAGTAACAAGGAATTGCAGGGATGGCACTAGGAGAGCAAAAGCTGGAAATGAGCTGAGATTAGTTGGAGACAATAAAAATAACAAAAAAGCATTCTTCAGTTATGTGTGTGGCAAAAGACAAACAGTGGCTCAGCTACTCAATAGAGTTGGAAAATAGTAACAGGGAAAAAAAAGGCAGAAGTGCTCAATTCCTATTAGTAACAGGGAAAAAAAGGCAGAAGTGCTCAATTCCTATTTTAACTCAGCCTTTTCGCAAAGGACAAACTTTGACCCTACAGACAATGTGAAGTGCAAGTGGGGGGGGAATAGGATTGCAGTTGGAGATTGATAATACAGTGATGCCTCGCTTGACGACGTTAATTCATTCCAGCAAAATCATTGTAGAGCAAAAACGTCATAAAGAGAAATGAAAAAGCCCATTGAAATGCATTGAAAACTGTTCAATGCATTCCAATGGGCTGAATACCTGCTCGTCCAGTGAAGGTCCTCCATACGGTGGCCATTTTCAGTTGCCTGTCTTGTGAAAAATGCCTCCTAAAAACAGTGGGGAGCCTTTTTGAGCAGCTGGCGGTCATTTTGAAAACCTGACGATCAGCTGTTTTGATCATCGTAATGCGAAGAATCTGTTCCCGAAGCAGGGAACCAATTGTCGCAAAGCGAAAAAAACCCATTAAAACATTTTGCAGTTGTGTTCCCAAAAACATTGTCATGAAGCGGATTCGTCATTATATGGGGTAATTGTTAAGCAGGGCACGACTGTAGTCTAGGAATACCCTACTCACTTGAACAAGTTCTGATCTCCAGTGCCAAATGAACTGCATCCAAGAGTATTGAAGGAGTTGACTGAAGAACTCTTAGAACCACTGTCCATTGTTTTCTTGAAATCATCTTAGAACCATTGTCCATTGTTTTCTTGAAATCATGGGTGAGGTGCCAGATGATTGGAAGAAGGCTAATGGTGTCCCTATCTTCAAAAAAGGAAGAAACTGGGGACTACAAAACCAGTCAACTGACATCAGTTCCAAGGAAAATTTTCGGACAGATTATAAAGTGGTCACTATGTAAGCACCTAGAAAACAATGCAGTAAGAACTAGGAGCCAACACAGGTTTATCAAGAACAAATCCTGCCAGATTAATCTGATCTTCCTGATAGACAGAGGGAATGCAGTAGACATCGCATATCTTGACTTCAGCAAACCTTTTGACAAAGTGCCTCATGATATTCTGATTAGCAAGCTAACTAGGTGTGTACTGGATAAAACAGCTGTCAGGTGGATACACAGTTGGCTACAGAATGATATTCAGAGGTGATGATTAAACTGGGTGGACTAACAAAGGGGGTACCCCAGGGCTCAGTCCTGGCTCCTGTGCTCTTCAACATGATAGATAAGATATTATAGCACTTTTCAAATACTTGAAAGGTTGTTATACAGAGGAAGTTAAGGATCTATTCACAATCAACTCAGAGTGCAGGTTCAACTTGGATTCAAGTTACAGGAGGCCAGATTTCGGTTGAATATCAGGAAAGACTTCCCAGTGGTTAGAGCAGTATGGCAATGGAGCCAATTACCTCAAGAGGTGCTGAGTGTTCCAACACTGGAGGCATTCAAAAGAAATTTAGGCAACCACCTGGCAGATTATCTTTTGATTTGTATTCCTGCGTTGAGCACGGGATTGGACTCGATGGCCTTTTAGGCCCTTTCAAACTTCATGATTCTGTGATTCTATGATAAGGGGCTGCGGTGCTAGCAGCTGCTATTAGAAGCCGAGTGAACAGAGGAGAATTGAAGATGACCGAAGGAAGAGTGTTGGAATAGATCACTAGTGCGTATCACACAAGGAGGGGGTGATGGACAGAAAAAATGCCAGATGCGTTTCCTTCTCTTGTCTTTTTATATATGTGCATGCAAATCTTGGCAGAGTGTGAATTCTGGCTTTAAAAAACAGCAACCCTCTAGCTATGCAGCCAAAGCACAGGGACCAATGGATCAGAATTAGCTTCAAGTCTCCCCAGAGTAAACCACCCCTTAATTGGTCTCATTAACTGATACTTACAGTCTCAATACTCACTCTGAGATATTGGTAAGAGAAAGAGAAAAAAAGTTTCTCACAGTTCTGAACAGATCAGAAACAACATACTGTAGGGGGGAAAAGTATTAGTTAAGGGAACAGGCCTTTACTGACTCTAATTCTAGGGACAACAGACTACTGACTGGACTACATGACTAACTGAATACTGAGTGAAAAAGTAGGGAAAAGACTCTTAGAGAGGCATGGCTCACTTCAAAATCAGAGGCAAAGAGGGTGAATGCTGGATTGATTAATAGTTACCCCAGCTCAGAAAGGTCCCTCCCGGTCAAAACTCTTAAAGGCAGCAAACGAAGGTTGTTAAAGCTAAAACAGTAAATTGGTACTCTCAGGTGTAAAGAGCTTCATTTTACTGTGAGTTTTTTTTAATGTTTCATGTTATGCTGATTGCTTTTTGAGAATCATTTGTTTCATACATATTGGAAGCCACTTAGAATAATATGTTGCAGAGGAGAAGTCGAGGTAAGAGTGACTAAATAAATAATGTGAAATACAGGACTGAAAAAAAATGTGGAAAGAATCAGATCCTGTCTGTTGCTTTCATCTCAGGCAGCCTCTTTAGCTGGTATCTCCAACAGGGAGATTCTGAGGCAGAGCTTTTACTTACTGCAGAGGGTCTGATTGTTACCAAGATGAAAGTTCTCTTTAAGCAAAAGGGGAGGTGGGGTGGGGTGGGGGATGGAATAGGATAGATGTTTAAAAAGGCTTTTAAAGCTGGAAAGATGAGTTTTTCAGAGACCTGAAAGGAGCTGGTGCTTTTCTGAAGACCCTGTTTGATATTTGCCCATTCACAGAAAAGATCTTTTGCCTTCTCTGTGTTTAGACACAGAGCTCTGAAATAGATATCCTGGCTAAAAGTAACAGTTTACATGAAAAGAGCATGCTTATTGTTTTCTTTTGTTTTGCTTTTTGCTGGACAGATATGAGTGGGAGGTTTTAAAAAACAACGGAGAGCAAGGTAAAATAAGAGTAGGGCAATTTAGAAGGTGTTTTGCTGAAGAAAAAGAAGATGAATTGCTATGGAGGTAAGGCTCAAAAAATGGGGCAAGCATGTATTCCAAAATGACAAGGAAGAAGAGGCAATGAACTAGAATGGAAGAAAAGAAAGAAAGGATAATGATTAGTGGGATGGCTGTTAGGCAGCTTCTTCACAGAGGACTAGAATCTTGAGAGTGATCCAAACTATAAAGGAAGGCAAGTACAGAATTTAAAGGAAAAGGATTCTTTGATCACATGAACAAAGGATGAAGATAAGTGTAGCCAGGGCTTTCTCATCTGATACCAAATATGTATGATATATCTGACAGTCTTGATTTACAGTCTTCTTCCAGGCAGCTTAGAAAGAAGCATTTTATTCTCTGTTCCCAGATCTATCATTGGTGCCTATCTTATTCATTGTTGTTTAGATTATCTGTACAGGTTGTCACTCAAGAAAGTTGATCTCTTGAACCTGCTTCAGATTTTTGAAAAGAGGAAAAAGACCACTGTAAAATCTGTAAATTGACTCAGTGCTTTGTACTCTGCCAGGTTAATGAGTCTCTGCATTCAGTAAAGTGCTTTTGTGTGAAAATGTTAATTGCTTTATTTAAAAATGCTACTGTTGGCATTTATTTCTTCTTGCTGGTGTAGCCATTGCACAAGCATGGGTCACCCCATTTCAAAAACTATCAAGACATAGGCTCAGTCTATATTTAGCAGTGATCCTATGCCCTCACAATATTGCCTTTGAAGCGATAATGGAAACGCAAGAGCTTTAGGTTTTGAAACCCAACAGGTTTTATTTGGCATAAGCTTTCAAAGACTGCATGCCACTTCAACATGTGTATGAAGTGTTATCCCTGTTGACAAATACTTATACATATCCTGGGGGCAGGATGTAGGGGAGTAGCAAGGGATGGGGACTTGAGTCACGAGACTTGCTGTCAAGTCACTGGTGTGGTGACTTGACAAGTTCATAACTCTGGGATTATTAGTTTTTTTCAATGACTGGGACTCAACTCATGTTTCAGAACCATCCTCTCTTTTTTTCTGGGGGAAAAAAATCTTGTTCTTAATAGGAAGTTGGACTTCGGTCTTGAGACTTAGTACCAAAGACTCAGTCTCAGACTTGGGACTCACACCCAAAGGCTTGCCAACATTCCTGGGAGTGGCCATGCAAATAGTAGAAGCAAACACTGCTTTTCTTAGCTGTGGGAAGTGATCAAAAACATCCAGGTGCAGGCTAACAGATTCAGATGTTTATGGTGATGAAACATCTTCACCCGATCAGTATATGAAAGAAAGAAGATTAAATTTAACCTTTAGATGAAAGTGGGGTGGTGGTGGTGGTGGAATATACTGTAATACAGAGAGCCAGAAGCAATAGAAAGGGAAGAATTACAGGTAGTGAAAATTATCGATATACAGGTATTGATCACTGAACAAACAAAAGTTGGGTGGCAATGCATACTGTATCTGAACAGATGAGTACATTAAAGCACGTACTGTAGCTAGATAAAAAAAGTGTTATCCAGTTGTTTCCTGTTGGAGTTGTCTTGGAAATCCTTTTGCCCAGAATGGCTAACTTGAAGTCAGAGAGAGAAACCAGAATCTGGGCAGGGTGGGCTGTGTGCATGCAAAGTAGTCACAAGCAGGCCTCCTCCTGGCAGGGTATCTGTCAGGAGGAGGCCTGCTTGCAACTGATTATGTAACTGAATTCCTAACTGGGTAAGTGAACAGCCTGGGAAAAATGGGAAACTGCATTTGTGATCCTCAGTTGTGTGCATGTTTTGTCTTGGGAGAATGAACTGCCCCCTGATTATTATTATTATTTTTAATAAGGTCATTTTTAATGTCAGATTTGGAGCCATTTATTTTTATGAAAAGACTGGTCTTACGTAAAACGAGGAGGAGTACTGCTGAGCAGCATTTCTGACATACAACATTGGAGGAGAAGCAGGTGTATAAACCCGCGATACTGTGAATTACACTGTTTGGCCTTATAACAGTGTTTTAATGAAAACATGGAGAAGTGTTGGCATCTGGGTCTGCCACTGGGTCTCTTTTCTGTGTCTGCTTCTGTTGTAAGACCTATTCTTGTCAGTCAGTAATCTTTTCAAATTCTGTGAGCAAATATTAGCCTACCACTCAAACCAAGTGAGAAAGATGTGCCATTGCACCAGATGGGCTGAAAAATACTGATGATACGTTGAAGTGCTATGTTATTCATATCGGGTGTACACTTCTGAAGATTCTTGCTTGGAATGAGTTTAGTCCTATTGATCTGGGTTTTCTTCTCTCTCTTTTTCACTTCATTGAATGGATATTATCATCTGAGAATTTCTTGGTTGAAATTATAGATGAGGGTATTCGTATACAAATATCCCCCCACAGGTGGAAATAATGAGGGTCCAGCCCCATGGGGCCGAACTGTCCACTCATGATTTCGCTGCTGCCGCCGGCTCCGCAGACACTTCCTATCATGCTGTTCTCCGCAATGGATTAGCCACTCTCTGACCTAGCAGAGAGGCCTGTCGTCCCACCTCCTGCCAGGACTGGGCAATTGATTGTGGACAACGACACGATAGGAAGGTTTGACGAGCTTGCATCAGTGGTGAAATCGTGCATGGTCAGTCCGGCCCCATGAGACTGGACCTTCATTATTTCCAACTGTGTGGGGATATTTGTATTCCTATATGAATAGACTGTCAATACTGAAGGATGCCTAAGAGTCATACAAATACGAATGCCCCCATCTGTACAATGGGATCTGTGTAGAAGGTGAACCTGTTATGTGGATTGCTCTAAACTCAGGTTATGGTGGATTGGAAATTTATTGGTGCTCATTTTCTTTGTGTCCAGAAGATGCCATCAGTGAATCTCAGTCAGAGAAAGTAACCATAAGAGTGCCAGTGTTCTAGAGTTATGTGTTCTTGTCAAAACTAAATGATCATTGGTAAATATACAATTAAATGAGTTGGCTGGGTATGCCAAAGCCCCTTTCAGGATAATATTCCTGATGGCTTATAATTTGTCTTTGTGGGAAATATTGGTTTGGAGGGCCTTGATATCCACAGCAGTTAAGATGATCTCTCCTGGGAAAACTTTAAGTCTCTTATGTAGCTGTGAGTATAAATGGCTATTTTTAAAGTTTTTAATCTTTATTTTTTCATCCACTTTTTTCTGAACTTGGTTGTAAATTTAGAGTGAACTTCCTTGAACCGATTATGTAATGCCAGAAAAGGAGATTACCTGTATTTAAGATAAATCAGCATTTGTGTATGTTTTTAAATTTTAAATATTTTTTTAAAAATTTAAGTTTTAAATGCACCAGTTTATCTGTCTTCATTGTAGCTTAAGCAACACCCAGAAGGCTTACACAAGACTATTTGTGTTTGCTCACCTCATCCAGTGAAGGGGCGCTCACTTTGCCTCTGTCATACGTAGCAGACTTCACAAAGATAATAATGCATTTCAGATGTCCTTGGTACTTATGTTCTATTTGTGTATCTTCTTCAGAAACATGCACGGGGTCAGGTGCTGTTTGATTTGGTCTGTGAGCATCTCAACCTCCTGGAGAAAGATTATTTTGGACTCACATTCTGTGACTCAGATAGTCAGAAGGTATGCTTGGATGTCCCAAATAGTCCTATTTGTTCAAGAAGCTGATCAACCAGAACTTACTCTTACATGCTGTCTCTTATCATTTCAGAACTGGCTGGATCCCTCTAAAGAAATAAAGAAGCAGACCCGCAGTAAGTAGTCCAATGGCATGGGAATTTAAGGTTCCCTCCCCACCCCATTTTAATATGGCCATGGCAGCATACTCTTTACATATTTGGAGAATGGGGGAAGGCAGAAGAATCCTCTGCTTCGTAAAGCACCATTGTGCTCAGTGAGTTTCCCTAGGAGATTTTACTACTTCCAGATCTGTCTTTAATTGTGCAGTCACTTTGCTTTATTTATAGAATTTTACATACACTCCAGATGTTGTTGGTAACTTCACCTTGTAATCTCCCCAAAGTTTCCTATTGGTGCTGCTTCTTTTTCTTTATTTCTTTTCTTTTATTTATTTTTTTGTAATTATTTTTCATTCCATTAGATCAACAAACAAACAAAACCTGACAGGATGAAAAAAACAATGACACAATTCCATTTGATTGGCATTGTTAAGGCCTCCTACCCTGCTTGGGCGACACCTCACCTTTTGTGCTAGGAGCAATCAAGCACCCATAAAAGAAGAGAACCTTAGAGAGCAAATATCTGAGATTCCTTCTGTGCCCCAGATCCTCGCTGACACCTGTATAAAACATTCACTTATGCTGGGAAATAACAGCGTTATAGTCAAGAATCAGTGATGGTATAAAGTAGTTTATATGAGACTACCATGTGAATGAATAAAAATATTATAATGTATTTTTCATTAAACAAATCCAGGTGTTTATATAGGAAGTACTGTACTTTGAAAATGTTACTAGTTTTCCCGATGAATGAGGCTATACTATATCCCTGTACAGTATGTGTATCAGGTGGGCTGTTTTTGCTGGTTTTCTCTGAAGTAATCTTCTTACTTGCTCCTAATACTTCCATTTGACATTTATCTGGGGAGAAAACTCAGCTGTGTTTCTGACCCTCATTCTTCTGCCCTGGTGCTTGTGAACTGCTTGAGTTATTTTTTTAAAAAATCTTATTTTCTTAGAAACTGTAGAGAAATGCCCCTACCAAAAAAGGCAGAGAATTTTAATTAACATTGCTCCTCTGCAACCCTAGTAGGGTATGTGCCATATAGCTGGTCAAAAGTAGGATAAAGCCCAGAAATCTTAATCCATAGGCAGGCCTGTTCTACCAACCATACAGATCAGTTCCCACAATTTGGACCAAAATGTGTCATGAACAGAGAGCTAGTATGCAGCAGAAAGGTCCAAAAAAGGCAGAGAATTTTAATTAACATTGCTCCTCTGCAACCCTAGTAGGGTATGTGCCATATAGCTGGTCAAAAGTAGGATAAAGCCCAGAAATCTTAATCCATAGGCAGGCCTGTTCTACCAACCATACAGATCAGTTCCCACAATTTGGACCAAAATGTGTCATGAACAGAGAGCTAGTATGCAGCAGAAAGGTATTGACAATGAGAAAAAGCCCAGAAATCTTAATCCATACAGATCAGTTCCCACAATTTAGACCAAAATGTGTCATAAACAGAGAGCTAGTATGCAGCAGAAAGGTATTGACAATGCAAAGAGCTTCTGATGACTTGAATCCATACAAGATGGAGAGAGTGTGTGTGTGTATGTGTGTGTCTGTTTTGTAACCGAGATGAAGTAGAGCAAGCGGTGACCTCTGTTCTGAGAAAAACAGGTAAGAAAGTGCAATGATTGTGGCTGGATCATTGTCACTGGCAGCATTTCACCTCCTCCTAGGAAGAGGAGAAATCCCTCTAGGAAGTGGCTGCTAGAATAACAGCATCTGGGTAGGTTTGCTGTGCAGTGGTTTGCACAGCAAAGGTCTTTCCCTAACAGCAGGCCCCCTGGGAAACATGAACTTGTTTCCATGACAACAGGAAATTGTTCGTTTTCTCTCTCTCTCTCTCTCTCCCTCTCTCTCTCCCTCTCTCTCTCCCTCTCTCTCTCGCTATTCTGCTGTGTTGTAGTATGTTGTAGGCTTTAGCAGGCAAGCACAGCGTGCCAGCTGCCTCAGCCATGAGCATCCACTCAAGCACAGATCCCTGCTGATTCTGGGGAGTTTGTCTTCTTTATGGACACTGATAGTTTTCCTTAGAGACGTCGGAGGTTGATGGAGGGGCAGAATGTGCAACAACCCAAATAATGGGAACAAGAACTGGAGGTGTAGCAAAAAGCGGCTTCATATAAATATGTCTCCATTCTTCCTTTCTCCTTTGCCCAGGTGGCCCCTGGAACTTTGCCTTCACTGTCAAGTTTTACCCACCAGACCCTGCTCAGCTCACAGAGGATATCACAAGGTGAGTAGAAAGAAGTTCTTCTAAGTGCTGATTCTTGCTTCACCCTCCTAAGCTTGTGTTGAGTTGAAGACTACAACACCCAGTGCTGCCAACCAACTCAACAACAAGCTGCTTTTTTCCATTATTGGCTGAAAAAGGTTACACCATCTATGGATTCATCCCAAAGCCTGCCTCCTTCTTTAAGAGCATCTGAACAGCGTTCCTAGATTTCCAGTTATGAATCTTACAATTTATAAGGGTAACTGGAAGAACGCAGCATGATAGCTTTTAAATATTGTCTTTTTAATGGTGTAAGCCACCTTGTGTCCCTTTAAGGAAAAAGGCAGGGTAAAAATATTTTAAAATAAAATAAATGGCCAGAATTCTATTAAGTACACCCACCAGCGTAACACCATTAGTGTGAATCTCAGTTGTAAATAGCTGCAGTTTAAGAAATCAATGTAGTGATTTGCTGTTGCATGCCAGTTATGTCCAGGCATGGGATTTTTGGATTCTTTGGACTACAAATATCATAATTCTTCCTTCTGGGACTTCCATTTCACATACCCAAACCTACTGATGCTTAATCCAGTCTCATCTAGAAAAAAAAATACATCTTGTAGATTTCCCTTCCCCAAAAAAATCCCTTGTACTTGGGGCAAAATTTGTTAAGTTACCATATTTTTCCATGTATAAAATAACACTTTTTCCTAAAATATTTAGAGGAAAAATTGAGGGTTATTTTATACATGGAAGGCGACAGCAGGAGGCAAAGAAGCAGTCATGCTCAGCCACCTCTCGCGGTTGCCCATTGACTGCTGATGCCGATGACGTCCGATTGCCCCCTACAGCGATTGTCTCCTTGTGATTGGGCGGTGGTGGCAGCAGCAAGAGGCAGCCGAGCCCAGCTGCTTCTTTGCCTCAGTCTCTGCCTCCTTCTCCTGCTGCCTCTGCTGGTTTGTGGGCTCAGTGATCGTGCAGCCCTTTGACCGCTGCCTTTCCCTTTCTTTTGCTAAGTCCTGTGGGGAAAGCAGAGAGCAAAGTGATTTTGCAGGCCTTTGATCCCTGCTTTCCCCCTCCTTTAGCTAAGCCCTGGGTTTAGGAAGTGGTGGGGAAAGCAGCGATCAATTTTTCTAATTTGGGGTTAGAAAAGTGGGGGTCATCTTATACTTGTGGTCATAAACGGAAAAATACAACACCTTTTTTTGTTGTTCCAATGTGTTAAGATGCCCTTTTTCTTTGAGGACAAGAAAATTTGCTTTCCTTGTATTCTTACAGAAGGCCACCATGCAATTATTGTGTTTTGCCATGCTGTTAAGAAGACATTCACATTCACACACTTCTTTCCCAACAGCCATATTAGTGCAATACTTCTATTTAGCCAGTCCAAAGGGTATAAAAATCTACACACCCTTTTGAGATCTCTACATATTTAAACTAAGCAAAATGTTACAAAAAAACAGGTTGCAGGAGGTGAAAGAGAAGAGGATTAAAGAGACCCAATGCTTAAGACATGGTGCTGCATGATAGCTTAAAATGGAACATGGAAAGAGAATTTCTACTTACATTCAGATGTGGCTATCTCAGGTGGTGTGATTATTTTAGATTTCACTTACAGTAACTGTAAGGAATTCTGGGAGGAAAAAAAATCCAACAGCTTGAGTCTTCCACTTTTGAAAGTCTGACTGTAAACTCAGTACTGTTTTGATCCTGAGCAAAGCAGTTTGGCTTCTTTATAAGTGTATTTTTGCATCCTAGGAATTATGCTAAAAGTGGATGTTTACAGAACTCCTGGTGGGCTTTGTTTGGCTAGTGGATGAGATACCTCTCTTGCATCTTCCATTTTAAGTGCTCAAAATCAGCTTCATGACTGCAGTCCCAGATGGCAGCGCAAATACAAGTTATCCAGATGTTTATTCACCTTATTAAAAAAGAAACCTAAACTAGAGGTCCCCAACCCCCGGTCCACGGCCCAGTGCCAATTTGTGGCCTGAGGCAGACCGGGCCGTGGAGACAGAGCTCCTCCCCACCCCCACATGTACTCTCTCCTGCACAGCCCCTTTGCGCATATGCGCGCATGCCTGCACCCATATGAGCACCCTCATCCCTTTGTGCATGTCCATGTAAGAAAGCACCCACTCCTTTGCACGTACGCACAAGCATGGGGGGTTGCCCCACCTTCTCCAGCCAGTCCACGGGTTGGGGACTGTTGACGTAAACCATCCCTAAATAAATGGCTGTGAAAAAATGGCTATTGTGCTGCTCACTTTCCTTGTGGGCATTCCAACTCTTTGACTTCCTTCCTTCCCTAGATACTACCTATGCCTGCAACTCCGAGCAGATATCATCAGTGGGCGACTCCCATGCTCTTTTGTTACGCATGCACTGCTAGGCTCCTATGCTGTACAAGCTGAACTGGGAGACTATGATAGTGAAGAGCATGTGGGCAACTATGTTGCTGAACTTCGTTTTGCTCCAAACCAAACCAGGGAGCTGGAAGAGCGTATTATGGAGTTACATAAGACTTACCGGTGAGTAAGTTTCTTTTCTTACTGTACCAAGTGCACGAAAGATCTAGGAAGCTTTCTGTCTCATAGTATTTGGAAGAAAAAGCGTCACACAACCCAACACCTTTTTAGAAATACATTAGTTTTTGTCAGCTTTTCAGGAATTAGTTGTTTTCATTGCTATTATTTCTCCTTTTTCTTTCAAAGGGGCATGACACCAGGTGAAGCAGAAATTCACTTCCTGGAGAATGCCAAGAAGCTTTCTATGTATGGTGTAGACCTCCATCATGCCAAGGTACTCTGAGCCTTGAGTCTAGAAGCACATTGCTGGGGACACAACTTTGCTCCTGGAATCTTCTGCTCCTGGAGGCGTTCCTTCACACTCTTTTGAGGCCTGTGACCTCTTTCTTTGTACCTCTCCTCTGCTCCCTTCTTTTAAATGTGTGTACGAAGGCTGCCAAATCATAAGACAGATTAAAAACAAACAAACAGAAACCCAATAAAAATGAATTGATTTCTCTTTTGGCCTTAAACCCAAGCTTTCCACTGAGTTTATACTCGAGAATGATTTAATCCTACCTCTCTGTCCTTGTCCAATGCCTAACATTTATTTATTATATTTATACTTCAAGTTTTCTCAAATTGCAGTCTAGTACACACTTTCCTGATTTTAATGTCTATTGACCTGATTGTATTATAATTTTGAAGCTAAAATCCTACCAGGAAAGACTGCATATAAATGTGTAGGTTTGTACTGGAAGTATACTACTGAAACAATTATAATATACAATGTAGGAAAGTTCCCTCAAAATGGGTTGGGTTGCAAACTAAGTGTACACAGAAACGTCATCTCTGGGCCAATGCACAGAATATAATACTGTAGTTTGGTTATATGGAATTTTCTTAAGGTTTACCGAAGAATAAGATAAGTTATTTCACTGTCATTTTGTTGCCAGAAAATGTTGGTGGCTCATAATTATATACATTGGCAGATGTTTAAGATCAGATTGTTTCTGACATTTATATCATTGTACAACCATGTGATGGGACATCGTCTGTAGCAAACAAAAGGTGGGTGGAAACTTTATTCCATGAAAGTATTGGAGTGGGCAACTATTACAATTAGAAATGCGCACCACCAGCTGTTTGGCAGTTCAGACCAATTTGTTTATTGGCTAAACAGGTGTTAGGTGCTTCAAAGCCCCGCCTCCTTGATAGGCTCCCATTCAGATATTGGGGTAGGGAAGCCAGATTTCTGTCTCTGAGTGGGTACTCACCGACAGAGGTGAACTTTGATGCACTGAATTAGCAGTTTGTGAGCATTTCTAATTATAATATTGATCCTTTTGGCTCATAAGTAATACATCTTTTACCCTGTATCTTTTTCCCTCCGTGCCCATTTTATTTCTGACGTTCACCGCTTTTCTCCTTCCCCTTCTCTATCTTGTGTGCGATCTGGCAGTAAGGGCAACAATTTTCTGCATCTCAAGCTTAAGTCATTTAAGGAATTCTACACATTGGAGAAAGTAATCACTTTGGGGTAGGTCAGTACCTTACATCTCACCAGCTTGCTGTCTAGCAAACTCCCTGGTAGAGAAGCTTCTAAAAGGTGAAAAGCACCAAATTTCAGGTGCCAGCTTTGGGCTCCACAAGTATTACAGCATTCTAATGCATGACTTCCAGCCTATTTTCTGGAATTCAACAGCACTCGGCTGTCCTCTAGTGCAGTATTTCTTGAATCAGCTCTGACGAATCAGAATATATGGCAAGATGCCTTAATTCTCCCATTTTGCCTGTTTCTCCTTGTAGTATATATGGCACAGCAGGAAACGTTGCTATTGGCCTGGAGCTTTCCAAAAAGCAGGAAGCTTGTTTGTGAGACAATCCTTGGTCTGCTACTAAAAAATAAGTAATTTTATATCTTCTTCATTTTAGTCCCTGATGATGAATGTAACTTTAGACCAACGTGTATGAATGTAGCCCCTTTTTTTTTCTTTTGTTCTTTGGAGTTCATAACTAGCTGGTAAAGCCAGTATTGGTGGATTAGGGTAATTATAATCTAACAACATTTGTATGGCTGGAGTTGCCCACTCTTGCTTAATTATGTGGTGCTTTTTAGTTCATTGATGAAGCCTATAGCCTTTCTCTTCGCTGATAAAACACCCCCTCTGACGCACTCCTGCCAGCTTTACTATTGTGCCCTGTTTATTTAGGCAAACATCTGTTACTTGCTGGTGTACCCACTGCACCATAAAGTAAGATGCTCTATACTAAAAGCATCTCTGACATCTTTCTAAGAATTGAGATATCATGCTGCTCCCCACCACAGCCCTCTTTTCTCCTGGCTAAGCTAGAAAGATAGAAATCTGTTTTTCCTGCAGTTAGAACGAGGGACTCGGCTCACTGGTGGAAACCCACTGGTCTTTTTCTAGCTCAAGTGTCAGCATTGTTTTAGTATGTGGTTATTTGAAACAGATGGAGATGAAAGCTGACAGTGGCTCACTTCGAATTTAGAAAAATAGTGTATTGACTTGCCACCGTTCCTTTCCTGCATTACATTCTTACTGATGACCCGTTTAAGGTAATACCCTGGCATCGAACAGAGGCTTTGAGGATTTGCTCTCGATATCCTCCTGGCTTTGTATTGGCAGGTTTTTATATGCCTAACACAACTCCCTCTGTGTTTTTTATTTCCTCCCATGGCCCTGCTTCAGGATTCAGAAGGCATTGACATCATGCTGGGTGTTTGCGCCAATGGCCTTCTTATTTATAGGGACAGGCTGAGAATAAACCGTTTTGCTTGGCCCAAGATCCTCAAGATTTCCTACAAGAGGAGCAATTTCTACATCAAAATTCGACCTGGTGAGGTAAGCATCTCCTATTCAAAAGAAAGAAGAACTTTATCTGAAAGCAGACACTTTGCTAGATAATGACCTATAAATCAATTCCCAGAGAGAATCTGAATCTTAGAAAAATCCATTTTCTCCTTGGGTTAATGGGTACTTGATGGGTCCACATATATAGCCTTGATGTAATTAGCCAAACATTATTTCTGGTGACTAGAGTCTCCAGAAATATGCTGGAATATTAATCTAACTGGTCTTTCAGTCTACACTAGATTATGGAAAATGAAAGAAAGAAAGAGAATTTTAACCATGTTTATGTTCTTTGAGGCCCAGTGCAAGATGAAGCAAGACCCTGCCTCTCCCCTGAGATCTGTATGTACAGAGAGGACTCTGAACTTGGAAAGGTTACTTGTTTGGACTATAACTCCCAGTGGCCATTCTGGGCAGATAAGTTCTGGCAATATTGTCCAAAACAGTAATTTAGCCTGGCACTGTTTCCTCATAATTAAAACAGGAAAAAAGTC